ATACCTTGTTTTCTTTTGGATTATAGGTATAATATGTCCCTCTATTATGATGTTTTATCAAATATACCCCTCTACTATTTTTTACATCAAACATGCCCATGTACTTTGAAAAAATTATCAAACATGCCCTTCTGTTAAACTTTCCATTGAAAAAATCGTCAATCTTCGTTGAACCGAGATTTAGACGACCCGACATCTGCAAATGGGATCTAAAATGTCAGTTTTGTCTCCCATTTTATTTCTCTGGGTCTCTTCAAAGTGAAATTATTTGGCTATACAAAAGAACCAAAAAAATCCTAAAGTAAAATTATTAGGGATATTTTAGACATTTGTGTCACCCAAACCAAATTTCGGCCTTTGTTAACGGATTTTGGATGGAAATTTTAAGAGAAGGCCATGTTTGATGTAAAAAAGAAGGGCATGTTTTACCTATAACCCTTTTCTTTTTTGAAAAGTACATTCTTGCTATTTTCATATTGAAACCCTATTGAGAGAGCAAAGTATCAAAACATTCCAATAAACTAGTGTTGAGGCTTGGTTCTAGATATTCACCAACTCGGCTTGGCCAATTGTTGGGATTTTTCCAATAATAGCACGTTTAAAAAAATTACAAAACTAGCACCCATCCAAAAAAATTGACAGAAATAGCACCATTTTTTATGGAACGCACTCCTAAGGTGCGTTTTACTTATAAAACGCACCTTAGGAGTGCGTTCCAAGCCACGTCACCACACGAAACGCACTAGGAAGGTGCGGTTTACATATTCTGCGGAACAGTCTTCAAGACTGTTGGATGGAGGAGCGATCGGGGGCGGACCGCGCGCCAGCGGAGCGATCCGCGCCATGGATCGGGGACCGCAGCGCCAAGGTGCGGTCAAGCCTGGGGAAGAGCAAACCGCCTCGGTAAGGCGCGGTTTTGGGTTTGGCAAAATTACCCGACCGCCCCTAGAGGGTGCGGCCTGTCGAGTATAAATACCCCCCCCTTCCCCCCTCATTCCCTTTTCACTTTTCCTTTTCACTTTCCCTTTTCACTTCTGGGAGAATCCAGAAAGTGGTTCATGAGTCAACCCCATCATTCCATCACTTCATGGGAGGAGCTTTGCAACAGATTTCTGAACAGATTCTATACCACCTCCAAGACCGCAAGCATGCGAGCCATCATTAATACCCCTATTCTTGAGCCGTTGGAGAAGAGATTCTCGTGTTTTAAGCCGATTTCACGCTAGGTTGTATGTTTATGTCATATTTCAGGGCTTGGCGTTGACGTTAAGGAGAGGAAACGAGTTTCGGGTCAAAAGGAGGATGTTTGAGTTGAAGAGGGCTGGAGGAGCAAAATACCCGGCCATGAGTAATAATACCCGGTCGGGTAAATCGCTAAGAGAGGCCGGGGAAAATTGATTTTGGATGTCTATAAACATAAGGGGTCCCGGCCAGAGAGCAAAAATACCCGATCGGGTATTATTGACCTCGACCGGGTATTATCCCCTGTACCGCTGCTCTGCGTTTTGAAATCCCCGGCCGGGCACCCGAAATATCCGACCGGGAATTATGACCGGGGATCGCGAACACATGCTGTTAAAAGCCTGTTTTGTGGGTTTTTGCAAGGAGAGAGCTGGGTTTTGGATCCCAAACACCCAAGGGACAAACCAGAGAGAGGGCGATTTGAGGGCACTCTTGGAGTGGAATTGGAGGATTTCTTTCCCTTGGAAGCTCGAGGAACAAGCCCGGACTTGGAGACTGATCATCTGAAGTTTCTTACTGCAGTCTCTCTCTTCTCTATGGAGTAACTTCCCTTCACTTAGGTTTTGAGGAACCCTAGCTATGTTTGTTTGATTGGATGATTGTATGAGTACTCTTACTTGATAATCTTGAGCTCATATTCAATCTATGCATGTTTTCATGATTCAATTCTGCTTTAGTAGAGATTATTGATTCTGCTTTGATCATACGAGAGCGAATACCTGATTAGGTCAATAGAGCACCATAGATTGATAGTATTGGATCGATTGCTTTAGTCGAGGATAGATTCACTGCTTTATATCAATTGAGAACCTCATTCGATAGAGGGAGTTTAGTCAGAACGCCTTGATCGGTTGTTCTAGAGAAGGATACGTCCCTCTAGGCAATCGACTCAAGAGGGCCTTGATCCTTTAGTCGAGATTCAATGTCTAGTCAAGGATTCTCCGCATTGTGAATGAAAGTGAAACAAGTTAGAAATCATCAATCATTAATCTGGCTAGTGGCTAGTGGCTAGGGGGAATTATACCTAAGTGAGTTCCCAACCTGTAATTAGATTAACTTTAACTGTAGTTTGTTAGAGTAGTTTTAGTTTTTCCATCTTAATCTGGTTTGCTAGATAATGAACTGAAGCTGAGTAATAGTAACTCTAGAGACCCGCGGATTCGATATTTATAACTTGAGCCACTATACTGCAATCCCTTTCATTGGTTACACTTGGCCATTATTAGGAGTTGTGTCATAGCGAGTCAATGGCAAAAAATGAGCATGAATGGAAGGAATTACAAGAAGGGAAAGATCACGAGGAGTTAAATTCCACCCTTCTTTCACCTAACTCGCAAGTGGACGACCAAATTGAGCATTTACAAGAGATAATAGGGGGTTACAAGTGGCCTTCACCGCCTGGTCAAGGGCAAGCCAAAGCCAGTCCACCTCCACTAATGCAATCTAACAAGGAGAGATCATCATCCTAAGAAGAATTTGGATTACCTATGCTAGTCTTCCGGTTAGAATCACCCACCACGAGTGGCAATATGGAGACACTTCCGAAACAAATTGAGGACCTAGGAATTTGCATGGTGCAACTCTAGGAAGCTGCAAGAGAGAGCTACGATCGAACGAAAGTAGTAGAACATATGGCAACTAGGGCTGTAAGTGTGGCCCTTACTACCCATCGGCCCGGCCGGCCTGGCCCAACCCTGTGGGTCGGGTAGGGTCAATTACTCATTAGGGCCAAAATAGGGTCGGGTCACATTCTGACCCTAGAGGGTAGGGTATTTTTGGGTTTTACCCTTAAAACCCATTCAGACCCATTTTAACCCTAACACCCTAATTACCCAACCCATTTCGGCTCATCTCTCTTTCCTCGCGATATGGTGACTGCCGACGAGTCTTCGAATCCCTTTCCCCGGACGCCATTGTCGACGATTTCTCCAAAACAGCAGTAACCCTTTTTTCTCCGGCAATTTCCCTCTGCCGTCCGGAAAGAATTCCCTCGCCTCCTCCCTCTTCTCCAGTTCTTTGTAGGGAACCTGCGAACCCTAGCTTTTCTTATCAATCGGCGAACTCGCGTTCTCCATTTGGCTGCTGCTGGCTCTGCGCCTCATTGCTGGCCCGAATTCCTCGTCGACAACGAACCGCAGGAACAGCATCTCTGTTGCAAAGCTCTGGTTCCATGGTGAGATTGATGGGTGAGGAGGGAAAATCGAGAGCTAGCTAGCTAGTTTCACTTCTTTAGGTGGTGGATCTGTGAGTTTCATTCATTGCTTCAGGTCCGAGACTCAGAATAGCTTTCATCGTCTTATTATTGAATTTAATTGAGTTTTGTTGGTTTCTTTAGTAGCTGATTGATTGGGGGGGTTTTCAAGTCGATCTTTTCTTCGTATCTTACCAAATTTCAAGCTTTCTGCTCTGCTTCAGTGGGTTTTTTGTTGCTTTGGCGATCTTGCTTTAAATGGTGTGATCGCTTATGTGAGTGGTGGTTAGTATGAGTACTAGATGATGAATGTTTGAGGCCAAACCCTTGAAAATGTGGTGGTCTTTTACTGGGTCTTGATTGTTGATCGCTTATGGAAGTTAAGTCACTATGAGGTTTAGGTTTCAAGTTAATCCTCTGCTTTTATACAGTTTAGGTTGTTTATAGCTGCTGGTTTCAGTATGACTGTGCGGACATGTCATGTCATGGTCAGTAATGATTCTACTTTCAGGATTCGATTCAAACCTTTCGTGACAAGGTTGAGATGAATCATGAATGTATTCTTTTCCTGGGATCGAGTGGTATGGTTTTGTTAGAGTGAAGCCGTAGCTCGTTTTGGAGCTGTTATCTATGTTTCATTGTAACCGGATGAATGTTTTCTCTTGTGTGCAAGTGTTCAGTGCATTCATTCGTAGTTGATGAAGGTGACCTGTTCTTTTTGATGCATTTGTAGATTGAACAGTACAGATCAGAGAATAGAAAGCTCCAAGAATCTGAAGCATAAATCAAAGCGTTGTCGGTCAATTATGCCGCTCTTTTAAAAGAGAAAGAGGTACTTCCAATGCACTACTGCTATGTTGTTTTCAAAGCTTGGAACTGCAGCACAGTGTGATTTTCTTACATACCAGAAAGTTCATTTGATGGTCCTGTGGTTGCAACTTTGTTTCAAATAGGTTAGGACATTGTTTAAGTTTCAAGTTTGGTAATCCAACACTTGAGTTCTGTATGGTTTTAAACTTTAGATTATTGAGCTGCACCAAAAAAGAATGAATGCAGAATGATCTTGCTTCCTTGCTTGCTTTGCTGCTTTGTTTTGTTGAATGAGTGAGCCATGGCTTGGGGTTTATATAAGGTTTTTTCAGGAGGGGAGTTTGATGGTTTTGCAGTTGTATACCAACAATAGAGAGTCGCTTGTTTTTGTTGTTGTTACAAAGGTTTCTAGTTTTTGGTCGGTTGATCCCTCTGTCTTCTTCTGCTCACCCTCGCACAAAAAGTACTCTGCTTCATTCCTCTGTGTGGTTTATTAAATATTAAGTTGAAATATGATTATGCAGAACTTTTTAATAACTCTCACAAAGGAGATACATGTGCTAGGAAGGTATCATTACTGCAGCTATTATCTAGAATGAAGATATGATTAATTTAAGTAAATCTGTAGCTTAATTACTTGACTAGTATTAAGTGTGGTATTAAGAAAGAAAAACACGGTTTGTGTTTGAATGTAGGACTTGAAATCTTAGCCTTCTCAAGTCTAGTGCTGGGGGCTTCTTAGGCGATTTGATCAAATGGAACTTTGAGAAGTTCTTGGTGGACAAGAACGGTAAGGTTGTCGAACGTTATCCGCCAACAACATCACCTTTCCAAATCGAGGTACTTGTTTGCATCAAATCGAGGTACTTGTTATGGATTATTGGTGCAGAGTTTTCAAGCTAATTAGTATTTGATAATTGTGCAGGTAATCCTGACGCCTAGTCATCTGGCGATTAGTGGTGTTAAATGCTTAACATGAAGAGATATGCTTAGTGGTGTTTTTTTTTTTTTGATGAATTATGCTTAGTGGTGTTAAATGATGCATATTTTATAATTATGGATGAATTTAGTATTTTGATTTTGATTTTGCATGTGCATATGAGATAATATTACCAAGCCGATATTGGTCCTACACCGGGCCCGCCTTGAACCTTTTAGGGTCTTTTTTGCGAAGAACGAGTGAGTCATGCCGATGGGTTATGCCCACGGGAGACCACTTGTCTTCACAGCCCATCCCTTGTAATTAGATCAATTACCCAACTACAACCACATGCATTTGATTGTTCGTCATGAGACCATAGTATTGACCACCTTTTAGGTTAGATCCAGCCATGACTAGATAGATGGTTTTATTTTTCGAAACATAGTTTTGCATGCATCTATGTTATGTACGACAATGTATATGAAATGTATCATCATCTAAATATTGTAGTTTAAGACAACCCAACAAGTGGAATAACAATTAAAAAAATCCAGATAAAATACAAAAATCCACACATGGTGTAACTAGAAATAATAAGTAATTGAGGCTTAGTCACATGTGGATTTCAAGTTTTTAACCACTCTTTATATTTGTGTGATTTTTAGATTTGAAATTATGGACGAAGCAACTAGTAACAATCCCATGGCCAGCTCTACTGGCACACCTTCCGAAAGAGTTCTGCCAACGAATGTTAGTGAGAGTGAAGAAGGTGCATTCGGAACTTCAGATGTGTGGCCACACTTTACAAGAATGAATTGGTCGGATAAGCCAAATAGACTTGCTGGTTGCAAATACTGTCCAAAGCAATTGAAGTGTGCATCTACTTCTGGGACTAGTAGTTTGAGAATACATTTGCAAAGATGTAGAGTATACCCGTATAGTGATGTTAACTTGAAGAGTAATAGAACTCCTAACGTTCAGGCAACTGGTGTTCATGGTACTAGCAATGCATCTCCCTCTTTTGTAGCTCAAGCATATGACCCAACTGTCTCAAGAATGAAGCTTGCTAGAATGATTATCATAGACGAGTTAGCTTTTAGACATGTTGAGCGTGAAGGATTTCATGATTTCGTCTACTCACTAAGACCTGAGTTTCATATTCCTTCTAGAATCACTGTAGCAAAAGATTGTTTCAAGTTGTTTTTGGCTGAGAAGGAAAAGTTGAAAAGTTTCTTTAAGCAATCACAAATCAGAGTTTGTCTAACAACTGATATTTGGGCAAGTAGACATCATCTGGATTATATGAGTCTCACTGCCCACTTCATTGACCATGATTGGAGGATGCAAAAAAGGATTATCAACTTCTCTTCTATTCCTAATCACTCGGGTCAAACAATTGGGAAGACGGTTGAAAAACATTTGCTTAGTTGGGGGATTGATAGGGTCCTAACTGTAACAGTGGATAACGCAAGTTCTAATGATGTGGGCATGTCATATTTGAAGAAAAGAATTAACAACTGGAAGGGAAGTGTCTTGAAAGGACAACATCTCCATATGAGATGTTGTGCTCACATATTGAATTTGACCGTGAAAGATGGATTAAAGGATGTTGATGATTCAATCTATCGTATTCGATCGGCAGTCCGATATGTTAGATCATCGAAATCTAGGATGCAGAGATTTAAAAATTGTGCTCATGAAGAGAAGTTAGAGACCAAAAAACTTGTATGTTTAGATGTGGAGACTAGATGGAACTCTACTTTCATGATGTTGGAGTCGGCTTTGAAATTTCAAAGGGCATTTGAGAGGTTAGAGGAGGAGGATCCCAAGTATAAAGTTGAGCTTGAGAAGTTGAAAGGGACTCCAAAGGAGTTTGACTGGTCTTATGTGGAGTCTCTAGTTCCATTTTTGAAGATATTTTATGATGCTACAATGAAAGTTTCGGGATCTTTGTATGTCACAAGCAATGATCTCTTTCATGTAGTATATGGAATCGCTTGCATGCTTAAAAAGGAAACTTCATCTAAAGTGTATGGTCATAAAGTCATGGCAAAGAGAATGAAAGCTAAGCATGACAAGTATTGGGGCAATTTGGACAATATTAACCCCTTGTTATTTATTGCTGTGGTTCTTGACCCGAGATACAAGCTAGAATATGTGGTTTTTGCACTTGATGAAGTTTATGGGAAAGATAATGGGGGAGATTGGACCAAGGAGGAGTTGCATAATAAGGTGAAGGGTTTTCTGGATGACATGTTCAAGAACTATTCAGAAATGAGAGGGGTTATTTGTGCAAGTTCTTCAAGAAGTGGGGGGAGTGTAGAGCCAAATGACGAGAACGAGGAGTGTGAAAATGTTGAGGATTATCTGAAGAGAAAATTTAAAAGAAAGAGAATAGAAGACAGAGCTGGAGAAACTACTATTTCGGAACTTGAGAGGTATTTGAAGGCAAATATTGAGGATGATGAGGATAAGAATTTTGATATCTTAGCGTGGTGGAAGAAGCACTCTAGTGAGTACCCGATATTGGGTTTGATGGCTAAAGATGTGTTGGCGATTCCAGTATCTACTGTTGCATTCGAGTCCGCTTTCAGTACCGGTGGACGCGTTCTAGATGCATTTCGGAGTTCTTTGACTCCCTTGGTCGTTGAAAGTTTGATTTGTGGTCAGAATTGGCTTCGATCGAGTACTCTTCCTATTGATATGGAAGAGAAGTTTGAGGAAATTGAAGAACTTGAGCAAGGTATGAATTTATCAACAATGTGGTTTTTAACACTTTATTATTTGTTTATACTATTATTAATTTATTTGTGGTTTTGTTAATTTTGCAGAGTTAAAGGAGTTTTGCTTGGATGATAGTACTATCATGAGTGATTTGGTTGATGATGATTGAAAGATGATATATTTGATATTATCAGCGATGCATTTGATGAATTGCGAAATTGTGTACTTTTTTTTACGTACTTTGCATTTTGTTTATTTGATTTGGATTCATTGTAAGGTAATTTTGACTTTGTAGATGTAATTTGCATTTTGTTTATTTGATTTGGATTTATCGTAAGGTAATTTAGACTTTTTAGATGTAATTTGCATTTTTTTTATTTGAATTGGATTTATCGTAAGGTGATTTAGACTTTTTAGATGTAATTTTAATTTTTTGGAATTAATTTTGAGTTTTTCGAATTAATTAGGATTTTTGGTATAGAAATTTGGACTAACTTAAATTTTTTCTGGAATTAGTTGGAATTTTTGTAATCAAACTTTTATTTTTTGAATTAGTTTAAATAATTTCTTTATTTAATTTAGATTATTTTTATTATGAACTCATTTAAATTTTCTAGTATATACCTGCAATTTTTTGAAATTTAATTTGATATTAAATAGTTAAGTGGGCTAATATTGTATAAAAAGAAGTTGGGCCGACCCTATGGCCCGACCGGACCCAGCCCAGCCCGACCCAACAGGGCCATACAGGGCCAAATGAGAATAGGGTCGGGCCGGGTCGGGCCAAATACTTAAGCATACAGGGCTGGGTATTTTTGGGTAGTGACAGGGTCAGGGCTGGGTTTGGCCCAGTTTCACCCCTAATGGCAACTCTTCCGGCCAACCTCCATGAGCTAGAAAAAATCAAGAAATAAAAGAAGTAGGACTCCAAGACTTAGAAGAGAAAATCTCTCAAATATCGTAGTTAGTGGCGGGGAAGGAAATCGAAGTAGATAAGTAGACCACTTCTCCCTCACAAGAAAAAGCCCGAGAAACTGTTAACATCAATCCACCAAGGGCAGAAGCTACGATGACTAGAGACAAAGCTCAAACTGGGGGACAAGATCTCGTCCGCACCCTATCATTCAAGATTGAGAAACGATATTCTTGACAATGAAGTTGCGGAGTTCTTAACTCTTTTGAAACAAATTCATATCGACATCCCATTCCTGGACAATGTGACTCAGTTTCCTAAATATACAAGGCACGCGAGAATTTGTTGAGCAAAAAGAAGAAATTATGGGATATCTTGACTATTGGACTCAACGAGATGTGCTCCGTGGGCCTTCAGAACAAGCTTCCGAAGAAGAAGAACGATTCAGGGAGTTTTACTATACACTGCATGATTAGTGATGTTTTGTTTAAGATATGCTTAGCAGATTTAGGGGCCAGTATTAATGTCATGCCTTATCAAGTTTTTCGGAAGCTAGATGTAGGTTAATTAACTCCTACTCAAATGACTATCCAGCTAGTTGATAGATCTATTGTTTTCCCCAAGGGTATAGTTCAGGATTTACTTGTTAAGGCATATCGTTTCATATTTCCAGCTGACTTTGTTATCCTAGACATCCATGGAGATATTGATGCTCCTCAATTCTGGGTAGACCATTTCTAGCAACAGCCAAATCCTTCATTGATGTACAGGGTGGTAAAATGATGTTAGGAATAGGAAATGAAGAGGTCACATTTACAAATCAGGTAGGTTACATACCCCATGAAGAGTGTGATGAGTTAAATTTTTCAGAAGATTTGCCTAATTTGTACAATATCCCCTCCCTATATCAAGTATCTGATGACCCTCTTGAACAATGCCTCATTTTAGGTACTGAGGACGCACTAGATTTAAATATGAACGAGCAACTGAATACTTTGGATGATGAAATTGGTGAAGAATATAATAGGAGGGTAAAACCTCTTCCATAACTAAAGTGAATTGCACCGTCAATAGAAGAGCCACCTTGTCTTGAATTGAAGCTACTACCCGAGCATCCGAAATACGCTTTCTTGTGGGAAGATTCAAAATTTTTGGTGATTATCAATGCAAATCTCACCTTATAGCAGAAGTCGGCTCTCATTGAACTTCTAAGGAAACATGAGAAGGCTATAGCTTGGAAGATAACTAATACGATCTCTGTGAGGAGATTGTATGTTTTAGAATACGCAACAAGGTTCAATTCCAAGTCTGGAACTAATCTCGAACAAGAACAAACGAAAACAAGTTTCGTTGGAAATAATACAATTTCCCAAAGGACAAATTCACACCTGGGAATAGGCTCCTTGGGTTTAATGGGTAGAAGGTCGACCAAAATCTAGGCCAATGCTAGATTGATACAAATCAAACACTCTCGAAATGGAAATCCACCAATCTGTCGAGAAAATTCACAAGCAAGCTTATGAACACAAAAACAGAGTTTTCGATTAATCAAAGTCTAACTATTGCAAAGAAAAGAAAGTGTTACATACTTCTAACCACGTCTAAAAAGCTAACAAAGAAGTCCTAATTAAGTTACAAATCGAAAAGGAATCATAAACTACCTAAAATATTGGATCCAAATTGAACAAGGAAGAGGAAATCTGTCTTGTGGTGCAAGTATTCCGACAGGCTCCATATGATCTTCTGGCCCTTGTTGGAAGCCTTCCAGTTCCAAGTAGCCATTCCTTCATCAAATGCATTGCCTTTGTACACAAACATACATACTTTCATGTGGTAGAAGCCTCTAGACTCGACTATCATCCATGCTTCTCGAATTGAGCTCCAAAGTAGGCTTCACCGTCACGTTTCCAAACTTAGGCATTTTTAGGCTGTTTTCTAGTTCTGAGATAGCAACTTTAAGGCATTGGAAAATTACCTTAATGACTTTTTCTGGATCCACCAATGCACCCGACATGTAGATAAATACTCCATCTTCAATAAAAACCCTTACTCGTGAATATTCATTGAACCAATTGTGAGAACCAAGCATCCAAAGTAGGCATCTCGAAACTGTTCCAAAACATGGCCAAATTCTGCCTCTTTTCTTTCCGACCTTGATAGCTTCTTTGGAAAGTAATTGTGACTTGTAGGATTGGCCAATTTGGATCATATCAATAACAGACATTCGAGGAATCACCCCATCCTTCTGCACTCATAAAATTAACTTAGAAGACGTAAGCAAGCCAGTTATTCAACCCCAAAGTCGTCTCAACCCCAACATTGTGGAAGTTGTTAAGGCGGAAATAATTAAGTTACTCGATGCAGGGATCATCTATCCAATTTATAATAGCACTTGGGTGAGTCCAACTCAAGTGGTCCCTAAGAAAGGGGGGAATGACAGGTGTCCCAAATGATAACAACGAACTCATCCCTAGACGGACAATCA